ATTTAATAAAACCCAGAATCAGGAGAACACGTTCCCTTGTAAGAAATGTGGCAGGTAAGATGCTCTCCACGGGGACCTAGGGGGTTGGTAGGTCCGCAGAGGTTAGTTGAGAGGGAGGAGGTAGTCTGAGCTTTCACCTTGTCTTCTGATCGGCTCAGAGGGTTTCTAGGGCAGTGACGTCCCTCGGAGCTTTTAGAAGAGGGACGATGGCACTGAATCAGGAACTTCTCTCTCCCCTAGTTGGAGGGTGGGGGTAGGCCACGTGGCACTGGCCAAGTCACGAAGGGCCAGGGACCCCCCCATACACACTCTAGCCAGGTGGCCCCAGGGGCTGGGGACAGACCTCTTACCCGAGCCCCTCTTACCTGGCTGCAGGGTGTTCTACAAGGTGAAGAGCCGCAGCGCCCACATGAAGAGCCATGCGGAGCAGGAGAAGAAGGCCGCAGCCCTGAGGCAGAGGGAGAAAGAGGCCGCGGCCGCCGCGGCCACCGCGGCCGCCTCGCCCCACCAGACGGAAAGCACCGGCGAGAGGGGCTGACGCCCCAGGTCGCCCGGAGACCCAGGACTGGCCCCTCTTCCTGGGCTCTCCCTGCGCCAGCCTTGCCCGCGCGCAGAGGGAGACGGGAGAGTGGACTTTTCTCTGAAAAGCAAATGAGACGATAAAAATAAACAGCTCTTTTATTTATAAAGGCCCAGGAGCAGTGTTAAGGGCTGCAGGATCCAGTTCTCTGTGCATTCGGTCTGTCGGAGGTTGTCCTCGGTTTTCCCGGAACTGTGAGAACCTGCTTGCTGGGGCTGCCCCCTGGGAGGGGCTCCAGCCGCCACCAATGCCCCTCACACTGGACCCCTGCTGCCGCGCAGCCTCTTCCCTTCCTCTTCCACCCCGTGCTCCCAGGTCACCCTGGGGAGCCCGGCGCCAGCCCACCCCAATGTAGCGTTATTCCTCCTCTTGGGAGGACCTTACAGGCCCAGCCCTAAGCCTGGAAAAAGGGAGTGCGTGGCCATCTCTGAGAGGGAGCTGAGCTTGGCACTTGTGCTGTCCCCTGCACAACTGTGTCCAGGCCTAGGCTGCCCCAGGGATCCTGTCCTCTCTCCCTGAGAGGGAAGCCTCCGGAATGCCTGGAGGGAGAGACTGCGGACAGGTACCTATCCTGTTGCTACTTGCTTGCAGCCTGCTGGGCTGGAAAGTTCTCTCAAATGTTGGGGAAAGGCCAGTGTTCCCGTCCAAGCTGTCAGCCTGCTGGAGGAAAGGGAACTGTGTGAAGATGGAAGCTGCAGGGCTAGGCATGAGGGAACTTTGGATAAGCCTTGGCTCTTCCTGCTTCCCAGCATTTTGCCAAATATCTTTGGGCCCTAGCGACTGCTAAGAGAGCTTAGCCTAGGCCCAGCCTGCCTCTCCTTGGTGCAAGTTTCCTGCCTGTCTCTGTTCTGCCCTTGGCAGCTGCCACCTAACCCCCCCACCCCACCTGGTCTAGCGCTGATATCCACAGCCCAGCCCCCAGTCCTGCATGCTGGAGATTTCTGGATCCTTCCCTGGGAGGGGGAGGTCTCCTAACCAGATTGGACAGGAGCCTTCATTCCTTGACTTGTGTCATTTGGGAGCTATTTATTTATTCTTAATATTTAATTTTCAACATCCTCTCAGGGACCAGGGGCCTCCTGCTTTCCAGAGGCCCAAGTGCATTTATCCCAAAACAAGGCACCTTCTTGGCATCCACCCCACCTCCCTATTCCCAAGACCCTAAAGCCCCTCACCTCATTGCTCTGGAAGCTCTTGCCAATAGGAATTATAGTCGCTGCTGAAAGAGTGGGAAGGTGGAAGGTGTCACACCAAGACTAGCAGGAGCAAGGGAGATCAAAGGCAGTTCCTGTTGCTACCTCTTCTCTGGCTGTACTTTCAAATTGCCTGAGGGGATTGGCTGGAAACCAGAATTCTGGTTTGTTTCTGGCTTGAAGAAGCCATGTTTGGCATGGAGTCACTAATGAAAGGGCTAGAAGGTTCTGGAGGCCCCTTCAATTGCCAGTCCCACAGGAGGGCTGAGTTATTTTTCTGATCGTGTTACTCAACTTTCGTTGTATAAAAGAAGTTCTAAGTGAATGCAAGTACACCACAGGTCAACATGTTAGGAAGGAGCCAAACATTCTGCTGTTCCTCATGAGATAGCCTAAAGGCATTGTGTTGGTAGCTGGGTGTGGGGAGGGAGTTTTGTTTCTAAACTATGCACTATCAGGTATTTTTCAGCATTCATGTATGCATTAATATGGTTCTATAGGACCCCAGCTATGGGAGCAACAAAATTCTTCCCCCTGACTCCTGGACAACTACCTAGATTTCCAACTTCCCAGTTAATTTCCTCCATAGGTTTCTACAAGCTCAGTATTCCAAGATTGTAAAAATCTGGTACCTCCGGAAATAGGAAGGTAGCAAATTTAGGCTCTCTTCTAAATCACTTGTGTAATATGAGTGCCTTCGCAGCTTCGCCCCAAAGTGCTACTTATATTTCCCAAGGTTTTTTCTATTTAAATTGTATTTCGTTTCAGGCCCCTTTATGGACATGTTGTAACAGAAACCTCCTTTGTCTAGAGTGATTCTCCTTTTCTAAACTCATGGAGTCCAGACCAGGTGAATGTAGGTGGAGAAAATCAATATGGTATCTCTGTATTAATCCCACCAGACACGGTATTTTAGAAGGAAGGGTTCATGCTTCAGGATAGATTTATATCTAGAATGCATTGTGAGTTAAAATGTTCAGAGGGCAGATGCAATTGTGGCATGTGACCTGCCACTTAAGTAGGTGCAGCCACAGAAGCTGGCAAAGGTATATCCTTTATGGTGCTTTCTCCATGTGAACACATTAGACTCTTCTTTTGTTTTTCTTTTGTTTTTTTTTCTTCTATTCAGAGCTTTTTGCTTTAAGAAGTTAAATGACAAAAACACCTCCAGCTTTACAATACCCTTCCATACCATCTCACATAACCATCTCACATAGCCATCTCCCAGCCTCCATCTGCACTCAGCAAGGGCATGAAACTAACCCAGTGCCTGTATTCCAGACCGTTTCCGAGGTCTCTTACCCACCCAAGGAGGCAGTGCTTCAGCACTGTCCTCCATGCCTTCAGCAGCCTCCCCTCACAGCTAAGGTACACACCCCTCCCTCCTGCCACCCCACCTCCACCCCTGGCACAGAGGTTGTGTGCTGCTTATGTCTAAAGGGATCCCCTATATTTAACTGCCTCAGTGACCTAACCTCTTTCTTCTCATGTGCCAGAGGTTAAGATGAAGGAGGAATACAACATATACTCAAGCCCCAGCTGTTCAAATATGTTTCCACCAGGGCTCACTTTTCTTGGACGGTATTTATTACCAGACTGGCAAGCCTAACTCCTTAGGTTTACAGGAAGTATGCATATTTTTATAAAACAATTGTATGTCCTCCACATAGTTCGCTGTGTTAATATTTGCCTCTAATAATTTGCAGCCGTTTCACCTTTTCCTCATTTGTCTCTCAGTTGAAGGCCTTGTTGGAGGGAACAGAGCACAGGAACAGCCTTGACAGTCTGTAATTATTGTACAAATATTTTAATAGCATATAAATAGGTATATTCCTTTTATTTTGAAAAAATGATCAGACACTGCCTTTTGTGTGTTTGCTGCCTGTGGCACCCTTTTTTAAAAAGACTGTTACATATTAAAATAGTGTACATATATATAAATATGACCTCTTTTGCTGTACAGTTGTGATAGACCAGACTGAAGATTTTATTTTTTGTGTGCTTTTTATAAAAAAAATTAATACACTAAAGAAAATCTTGCTGATGTGATTGTAATGTACCTATGTAACTTATTTACTTTTGAATGTTCTTCTGTATCTTTAAACCTTTTATTAAATAAGGTTTTAAAAATTCAGAGTTGAATGCTGTGTTCTTTGGGGGAGATTTTCACCATCTGGAGTTGACGTCAGTAGGCCTTGTTTTGCTTGCAGAGGGATTACTCGACATTTTTGAACCATATGGATTGTCTTATCAGCCCATTGTCAATGATGCTAGGACAGGAGACATTGACACACTAGTGTTTGCCTGGCTACAAAGATTACTGAGTATAGATCGTTTTACAAAATTTTAGAGAAGTTTCAATTCACTGTCTCACACAAAAACATGTAAGTGGCACACTTCCAACATTTTAGTTTCATTGGGATGAAATATGGAAGGTGCAGAATGCAATCAGGTGGCATAGGGAAACCGGGTGGATAAAGAGGGTGTTTTCGTGTTGAACCAGCGACAGGAGTAGACATGTCTGTCTTGGCGGATGCATTTTCAACAGTATCATCTTAAATCCACTGTATCTTTTAAACACAGTGCTTTGTAAAAAGTAAAATCTGGAAAATGTGAAAATAGAAATGTGCCATGAAGAGAAACCTAAGCCCCTGGCTGTCACCATGGCAACCGCAGAACCCGCCGGCTGAGGAGCGCGCGGATCAGGCGTCGTCTGGGCCACCGTTGCCATGCCTACACGGGAGCTGAGTGGGTCGAGGGGGCGGGACGCGCGGAAGGCACCCGCTGGGCCGGCCCCTCCCTCCACTGCCGCAGTAACTCGTCGGCTGGCTGCAGGGCGGACCACCCGGCAGCCGCGGTGGCCAAACGGCCGCAGCCCCCCCCCCGGAGTCCCCCGGAGCTCCCCGCAGCCCGCGCTTCCGCCGCCTGTGTCTTCCGCCCTCGGCCGTCCTTGCCGCCCAAAGGGCTCCTGCACCCGCGAAGAATCTGCTCGCGGGTTGACTCTGCCGCTGCTGCGACCTCAGGACAGTCTCTCCCTCCAGGGGCGGCACAGCCCTCGCCGCTAAGCGGCTGCCCCTCCGCCGCCCGAAGGCGCGGCTCGGACCGCGGACGCCGGATCGACTCCGGGAGCAGCGACTGCCCAGCGCCCGGCGGCCACGCCCCACCGCCACACCCCGGCGGCCTCTCCAGCCGGCGGCTCCCGCCTCCGCCAACTGTCCTCGCCCAAGCCTCTGCGCCACGAGGCGACAGCGTGCCTGCAGGTGGAGGACCCCGGACGTGGAGCCCGACCGAGACGCGAGATGGCCGCGGCCGCGTGACTGGCTGGCTGAGCAGTCCCGAGGCTCCGAGACCGCGCCGGCCGCCTGCGGGGGGAGGTCCGCGACGGGACGACAGCGGGACTCCGGTGCCGTGTGCGAACTGCGGTGTGTGACGCTTGCCGCTCTCGGCATATTTGGGGGGGAGTGTCTGCTAGAGCACAGGGAGCCACCGTCTAATCCGTGTTTGTAGGATTGGGCCCTTGATTGCCGGGAAAATGGCGATGGCACTGTTGGAAGACTGGTGCAGGGGGATGGATGTGAACTCCCAGAGAGCCCTGCTGGTCTGGGGGATCCCGGTGAACTGCGATGAGGCTGAAATCGGAGAGACCCTCCAGGCCGCGATGCCCCAGGTGCCCTATCGAGTGCTTGGGAGGATGTTCTGGAGGGAAGAGAACGCGAAAGCAGCCTTGTTAGAGCTCACTGGCGCTGTGGATTACGCGGCCATCCCCAGGGAGATGCCGGGTAAAGGAGGGGTCTGGAAAGTGGCCTTTAAGCCCCCGACTTCCGATGCTGAATTTTTAGAAAGATTGCACCTTTTTCTGGCCAGAGAGGGGTGGACCGTGCAAGATGTTGCCCGTGTCCTTGGGTTTCAGAACCCCGCTCCGGCCCCAGGCCCAGATATGCCAGCAGAGATGCTAAACTATATTTTGGATAATGTTATTCAGCCTCTTGTTGAGTCCATCTGGTACAAGAAGCTGACGCTGTTCTCAGGGAGGGACCTCCCGGGGCCTGGGGAGGAGTCCTTTGATCCCTGGCTGGAGCACACGAATGAGGTCATAGAGGAGTGGCAAGTGTCTGATATAGAAAAGAGGCGGCGGTTGATGGAGAGTCTTCGAGGCCCTGCCGCTGATGTCATCCGCATCCTCAAGACTAACAACCCTGCGATAACCACCGCCGAATGCCTGAAGGCACTTGAGCAGGTGTTTGGGAGCGTCGAGAGTTCTAGGGATGCGCAGGTCAGATTTCTGAACACTTACCAGAATCCAGGAGAAAAGCTATCGGCTTATGTCATTCGTCTGGAGCCTCTGCTGCAGAAGGTGGTGGAGAAGGGGGCCATAGATAAAGATAACGTGAACCAGGCGCGCCTGGAGCAGGTCATTGCGGGAGCCAACCACAGCGGGGCCATTCGAAGGCAGCTCTGGCTGACCGGGGCTGCGGAAGGGCCGGCGCCTAACCTCTTTCAGTTGCTAGTGCAGATTCGCGAGGAAGAGGCCAGAGAGGAGGAGGAGGAGGCAGAGGCTGCCCTCCTGCAGTTAGGCCTAGAGGGACGCTTCTGAGACCGGAAAATGGAGTTTTAGTGCAAATCTAGATAACATTGTCTCTGCTGTCTTATAGGTGTGTCTCTTAGTAAAGTCCTGTTTTCTGGGGGAGAGTCTGGCCTGCATATATATTCATGTAACATTAGTAAAATCGTGCTAGCGAGCGCCCTGAGCTGCTGCAAGTGAGTCATGCTTGCTAAAATGCTAGGTAAAGTCTTGGACACAGGTGCTCAGCGCAAGCTGTCCTCATGATATCATCATCAGTTGTGAAAAATGTGAACTTTGTGATACTTCTCATCGAGGTACTTAAATGTGAAATTGCATGTTCAGATGTTTAGTTCAGAGCCTGGCCGACACAAGGAAGTGTTGAGTAAAAATGTGAACTGTTACTACTAATAACGTGAATAGTTTTTGTGTTTACTGAACATTGTTCCTGATTTATATTAATGGGAAGAAATGTGAATTAGATATTCTTAGTAATTCAACTTTACATTGCTAATTTCTTATTTTCCATCTGTAAACATTGGGATCAGTTTAATTGAAAAGTATTTTGAGTCTACAAAACAGGGTGTTAAAAAATACTACAATTATAGAGGTGTAGTATTCTATAAAATTTAGAATTTTTCATTGTACAAAATAGATATAAATCGCATGAGGAGGTTAATATGAACCAGTTACAGTATCCATTACCCCATTTCAAATCTTTGTCATTGAAATAGTTCTCTTTACTCACTCTGGTTCTAAATGTTCTAAATTTGAAGTTATCAAATATATGTATACAAATAAAAATATTTTTTAAATTCTAGTCTTCTCATTTTTATGACATGTGTAAAAATTTTCAGTGTAATTAAGATCTGTATCTTTTCTCAGACTTCGTATCACTAAAATCAATTATTTTGTTTAAGCTTTACATCATACTATGTAAGTTTAAATTGAAGTACTTTTAATGTATTCAATTTTTGCATGTTTTCTACAAGGCAAATGTTAGGAGGCTAAATAAGTATAAGTAAATATTAACTTACTTTAATATGTTAGTAAATCCTGAAGTGGGGTTTAGGAGGTTATCAATGTTTTTCCTCCCCCTTTAAGTTCTTTTTAGCTAAAAGTGTTTGTTTTGGTGCAGGAATAACTCACACCTGGAAAATGAATGTTTCAGTTTTACAGCAGCTATTTTACATCAAGAGGATATAAAAGGGAAATGTGGCTTAAAAACATGTTTATTTGGCTGCAGAGATTCAGTGACTGAAAATGTCCATCTTTGAGATCCTAATGAATTCAGAAGTAATTACATGAACATAGCTTTCAGTGGGGGGTTTCCCCTAGTAACAAGGCTTTAAAATTATGGCCAACCTATTGTAACAATCATAAGATAAAAAATTTATTCATAAAGGCTAATATCAGTATATATTCTAACATTTTTCTATACACTTTTCTCACTTTCCGTGTATCTGTTCTTCCTTCATACTGTCCTCTCAACATATACATCTCCACATAGTTAACCCCCACGAGATATGTACATCTTCGGTATCCCCACAAACATGTCCTCATTCCCCCCTCTCCCACTCAAATCTCACATAGCTTTCCTGTCCACTCCCCCCACACCCCCCACCTCTCACAATCCTATCTTCACACACTCCCCCCTTCCCCACAAAACTCCATTATAATCAGACTCCCTCCTCCCACCACACACATACACTACACCAATCTCCCACCCCTCACATTCTCATTTCTCCACACACATATATACTAATCATCCACCACATATATGTACACACTCCCACTCTATATACATACACACATAACAAAAACAAATGGGTTCTTCATTTTTTCCCCACCCAGTATGTTATGGGCATACTATATCTGCATGTAGAGATATACCTTCTTTTTATAGGTGCAGAGTTGATTGCATTTAGGAGGGTCATCACCTAGGATTCTTTTATTATATATATATATTATTTTATATATATATATATGATAAAACCATGTCAGGATTCTAGATGTACATCCTTTGTTCTAGAACACAATGAACTAAAAATAATAATGCACTATTTATGATCCAAATTAAGGTTTTCTCTTTAGAGACTCAAACTAAAATCTTTCTGCTTTTTAAAGGACAGCAGCAAGAAACATATCCTCATAACCAAAGAACTACAGAATAAAAAAGTAGAAACTGCACTAACAGGTTCCATTCTGTGACCAAACTAATATTTGGCTGATAACACAGAGTATATGCTGGGAAAATGTGTAATGTTACTGCTATTGCTTGGTTCTTCCTGTTTCTTGTGTATCAAAAAGGGGCTGCCTGACATTAGGTTACTCCAGACCACAAATCAAGGACCTACCAGCCAACCCTAACCTTGTACCCTTCTGGAACTAAGAAGAGGACTAGGAATAGGGAAGTGCAATAGTAACTTGCTGTACCTGTAAGTGCTCTTTCCATGATCTAATAATTTTGAAATGGTTCCCAGAGAACTGGGGAAGACTTAATGGATCTGGGAGAGAAATAATCATTGGTAGTGAACTACGGGGGGGGGGGGGGGGGGAACAAACGAGTCTCTCTCTCACACATGTACACACGCACACACACAAAGCTGAATTTCTTTGGAACTGAATATAATTTGAAGTTCACATTGTAGTGCTATATTAGCTAAAACTAATGGTCATGTAACCAAAACAAGATACAAATTTTTATAAAATAACACAATTTATTACTATTTTAAAACAAGTCTCACAAAATAACATTCAGAAACTCAACATTTCTAAATAATTTAACACAATAACTTTAGTCATAAAGTCCATGCTACAAAATTCCTGCATATAAAAGATAATTACCAAAGTATTAATAGATGTTAATAGATATTAAAATGTTCTTCAGAATGGAGTTGGTTCTAGAAGCCAAAGATTCTGGAATGATGCTCATGATCATGACTGCCACCCTGGGTGAAGTAGCTGGCAACTGTATATTCCCTATAGCTACCAATTCCCAGTCTTTTGATGGGATTGATCCCTCTAGGCAATAGCACCTCAGAGGCAGGGACCCTGCTGATCAAAGAAGCAAATAACTTCCCACCCTCCTAACGTTAGTCACAAGTTAATTTAACCAATCTAAATTAATTTTTTAAATCTAGATGTGGGAAAGATAATTCACAAAGTTTCTGAGTAGGAGAATTCTACTTGACACATCCCCCAAGGATGACTGTCAATGTAGTAGATATGGAAGTGACACCAAGTAGGGAAACAGGGAAATCCTGACTCTGATTACGTTAACCGACAACTATTGCAGAGGTGGACTTAAAATGAGCAAGACTGAGGTTTGACTAATATCCACATGCAGGCAAGGTGTTTACCCATCTGCCCTTTGGGAGTACTTTCAACCAACATCCAGTTCATAATTTTAAAGTGCAAATCTACTGAAAAATAGTTTACTCTCCCCCACCCCTTTGTTAAATTTGCTAGATCATAATTTGGTTGGCTGGTTCCCCTCTAACCTGCCCAATATGGGAAATAAACTAGAATCCAGTTATGACTTCTCCAAGTGTGAAGTGAAAATTTATCTCAGGTCAGAAAAAGTTATTCTCAGTCAAGTTTTTCCTTTCAGTTTTCTTCCTTTGTAGTCACTGGTTTATAAATAGGCAGGAATAAAGATATAGATGTGGGATTTCTAAAGTTCGGTGATTAAAAAAAAAATACCCTTAAATATTTTTATTGCACCTATTTTATGGTTTTACAAAAAAAAACAACTCATGCTAGAGTGAAGATAAAGGAATATGGTTAAGTTAGCTGTGTCAGAAGCACCAACTCGGCTATACTAAAGTTTGTTTTATACTTAACTATTTACAGACACATTAAGCAGCCCAAATAGAGAAAATGTATGCCAAAGGAATTAATTTCTGGTAAAGGATAACTTCCACTTTAGCAGTTGGTTTTCTCCCTTTATCACTACTTACAATATAAAGTCTTGGTGACTAACAGACTGTAGTTAGAGAGACACTACTTATGATCGATACTCGACACGTTCCCCCAATTTTTTAAAGTTAATGATTACAACCAACCTTTCTAGCCCTACACTTTTCCTATTTAGTCCTAAGAAAAACCCAGGCAGAAGATTCTGGGTCACAGAGATAACTACCTTCAATTCTAGTTACACATCACCAATTCTGAGAGTAAGTCAACAGTTAAGATTCATTTCTTATTCCTCTTCATTTTACTTCAAACCACTGGTAAAAGGTATCAGAGGAATCATCCGTTCGAGTCAAAATTTCTCTTTCCAAACAAGAACCACATTTAAGTGTCTTATACCACCTCTATTTATGGAATGGATCCAGCAACCAGACATTTTCTGACCACATCCAAAATTGGTGTCTACACCAGCTAACTTTCATAATGATTGCCTTTTTTTTTTTTTTTTTGTAATCCTCACCCGAGGATACTTTTCCATTTATATTCAGATAGAATAGAAGGGAGGGAGGAAGGAAGGGAGAGAGAGAAACAGATGTGAAAGAGACACACCAACTGGTTGCCTCCCACACAACCCTGACCAAGGCTGGGAGGAACCACAACCGAGGTACGTGCCCTTGACCAGAACCGAACCTGCATCTCATTGGTCCATGGGCTGACGCTCTAACCAATGAGCCAAACTGGCCAGGGCTGATTACCAAATTTTATACAATATTTAATGACTGCTATAGTCTGAGAAATCCTGTGCATCACTGGACAATGAATGAATACTTAAAAAATGACAATCCACGTTCTAAAGAACACTTAAAATGTTAAATTTTAGAGACAAAGCAAAATCTGTCATAACCTTGGATTCTATTGATAGTAAGAAAGAGGTAGGTTAATAATCACTGTCCCAAGATGAGCAAAATACGAAGACAAGAAATAAAAATTTAGATCCTGCTGAAGAAAAGTAAATCGAACCCTTCCAGCCCTGAGTTTCTAAGGTGACATGAGAATTATTAAAATAAGCATTACAAAAGATGACCATTTCCTTCCACCCACGATTATTAAATACACCACTTTCTCTCATACAACAACTCATGTGGCTACAGAGTGAAAATAAATGGACCCCGGACAAAAGGAATGTTGGTATAAAGCACTGGTTCTTAACTAGGGGTGAATTTGTTCCAACCCCTCTGCCTCAGGGTACAGACTACAATGAATGTAGACATTTTTGGTTATCACAACTGAGAAGAAGATCCTACCGGTACCTAGTAAGTAAAAGTCAGTGATGCTACGAAACATCCTGTAACACACAAGACAGCTCCCCACAACTTTATCAAACCCAAATGTTGCTAGTGTCAAGGTTGACTCTGATTTAAAGGAACAAACTCCTATTAACAGAGAACACAAAACCGTTTAAGGCCTGACCAGGTAATACAGCCATAAGTTTAGAGTTAGGGAACAGAGAAAAGTTGAATTACTTGGTAGACTAAAATCAAATTTCCCGTGGAAATATTAAAATACTGAACTGATTTCAGAGCTCTACCATCATTACAAGAATAGAAATTTAAATGATCCACTAAAATGGCATAATGCTCTAAACAAGGAGCACAGAGAGAATCCTTTACAAGTAGATTAAAGGTCTAATCCAAGAAGCATAAATCAAAGGCATTAATACCAGTTAAATTTGCAGCAGTAAAGGATGAATTAAGGAATGATTTGAGAGACTATTGTAAACTTCTAATACACCCTATATTCTATTTTCTAATGACATGGATTTGGGGTTTTATTCCATGCAAAGGATTCATAGACGTCACTGAAATATTTGTTGAGTGGAAATGAATATGAATATTGTGTGAAACGGACACAGAAAAGTACCTTACATTTCTCTGAGAACTACCAGTTAAGAAACAAGGAGCTGCCCAGCCAGTGTGGCTCAGTGGATTGAGCATCATCCCATAAATTGAGAGGTCCCAGTTCAATTCCCAGTCAGGGAACATGCCCGGGCTGCAGGCTCGATCCCCAGTAGGTGGCGTGTGGGAGGCAGCCCGTTGATGTTTCTCTCTCACATCAATATTTCTCTCTCCCGCTTCCTCTTTCTCTAAAAAATCAATAAAAACATATTTAAAACAAAACAAGGAATTTCTTTCTACATTGCAGAATTTAAAAAAAAACACAAAAACCTAAACACTATAAGCCATTTAAAAAAAAAATTCAATATGAAGTCATCCATTCCCTATTATAGTTACTTCCAGAGTAACTTTTAGGAAATACACCCATACATAGCAATATGGCTTCAAGCTTACATACTAGATGAAGTTCATACAAGAAAACTGTCTTCCCTCTTAGCTTCTGGGTCTTTAAATCACTGAGGCGAATGCTCACTGCCTATGGTTCACAAAAGTACCCAAAGACTTTGAATGTGTAAGCCAGTCTGAGTAAAGATTTCTTTCTATCAGGTTATAAGAGCTAAAAGGAAGCTAAAAAAGTGTTGGGTTAATTTTTCCTTTTTAGAATTGATTGTCGAAGCAGTGGTCCCTTTTGATCAGCGTGACTGAAATATCATGTAATTCCTATTTATTTTTAATTTTTGTTTGTTTTAAATCCTCATCCAAGGATATTTTCCCATTTATTTTCAGACAGAGTGGGAGGAAGAGAGAGAAACATCTATGTGAGAGAGACACATGGATTGGTTACTTCCCACAAGACCTGGACCAGGGCTGGGGACGAACCGCAACTGAGGTATGTGCCCTTGACCAGAATCGAACCCATGATTCTTTGGTCCTTGGGCCAATGCTCTAACCACTGAGTGAAACCATTCAGGGATATAATTCCTATTTAAATGATAGATGAAAACTTCTGAAACCCAGAACTACTTATGTAATCACTTTTAAAAACAAGTCTTCCCGCCCTGCCCAGTTTTGCTCAGTGGATAGAGCGTTGGCCTGTGGTCCAGAGAGACCTGGGTTCGGTTCCCGCTAAGGGCACGTACCTCGGTTGCAGTTTGTCTCCGGCCCTGGTTGGATCGTGTGGGTGGCAACTACTCGATGTGTCTCTTTCATGTCAATGTTTCTCTCTCTCTCTCTCCCCCACCCACTCTAGCTGAACAAAAAATGGAAAAATGTCTTCAGGTGAGGATTTAAAACAAAAATGAGTCTTCCCTCTTTGGCTGATTTTACACGAGTAAATGGGGAAATAAAAATCAACAGTCTCTGGATGAGGGACTTCAGGCACAAATTGGCAGAGGGCCTCTGACTTCCTTACTGCAACTCTATCACTGATTTATTTAGCCGTGGCCTGCTATGGACTTCATCTGGTTACTGACTACCATATCTTGCATTTTCCATAAAGAATTTTTTCCTTATATGATAAATTCTAAGCTCTGCATCCAACTATTGCTTTACAATTTTGAGGTTAAATCTCCTGCAATGCTTCACAGAGAACGCAATCCTCAAACATATTGCCATTTGCCTGGAATCCCATAATGAAACATCTCTTTTCCCTCCATAACCACTTGCATAATTCATTTTAAGAGCTATTTAACTTAGAACTTTTCTAAAAATATATTTTGAAATACTAAATTTAATTTGTTGAAAGGTACCAGATCCCGTCTTTAAGTTCTATAGCTTTATAGCAATCACTTCTCCCAACAGAACAGTCAACAGATCAAAGTTATTAGGGTACATTTTGACATATATGAATGGCCAATATTTAGGCTAGGAATTCAAATATACCTACTGCTTATACATATTTCCTTATATAACATATGAAGAACTATAAACACAAAACCTGTGCCTAAAATCAGATCCACATGGGTAACATGGCCTCAGTGCTGGTCAAAGGAATAATTATGACAGTCACTTTAACCACTGACCTGGATCACAGAATGACTATGTACAGTGACTCGAGTGGCCACACATGTACACACAACCTAACTTCCAGTTGACATGTACACATTTTTTGAAAGACAAGTAAACATAACACGGGCTATAAGGCCTCTAAGATACTAATTTTTCGTTTTTTCACCACAGCTTTTTCATTGTGACTTCGGAGTTTTGCTTCTGTGGCTGCTGCTGCATTTCCTCCTGTCACCATGCTGCCTTTGGAACCAAAGGCAAGACATGTGTGCTTCTGAGTCATGAGGAGATGGACCTTCAGGGAAGACAGTCTACAGATTCAAAATTTAAGTGTATATATTTAACTGTCTAACCTAAAAAACACTGAATGAAGAACTATATTTGTTCTTTTGTTAAAAATGACTGGTCAATCTATAAAGATTTTAGTAGATGGAGACTGAAGAGGACTATAATATATAAAGTTGGTGTTACCATTTGGGGGAGAAACACTGAATAGGTTAAGAAAAAAAAAGATTTGTTTTATCTTAAGAACCTTTTGCCCCACACAGAATCTTTAAAATAGACAATTATACAAAATGTATCTATTGTTCTTATGACATTTAAATAAGTTAACACAAAGCAGAAAATGTGGTGTTAGTTTTCTTCTTCCTCATCCTCTTTAATTACCGGGGTACCTAAAATGAAAAAGAAAATTATTTCTGACCACTCTCAACAGATTGTTAAAATTCTAAATGAAAATATTTTCCTGTTAACCTCAGAAGCTCTGAAATGCTGTGAAGTGTGCCATAATAAAAATAATTTCTAGCCCTGGCCAGTTTGGCTCAGTGGTTGGAGCATCGGCCTGTGGACCAGAGAGTCCCTGGTTCGGTTCCTGCTAGGGGCATGTACCAAAATAAATAAATAAAAAATAATAAAATAAAATAAAAGTAATTTCTAAAAATAATCTCTTTAATTTTGAATTATCCAAAAAGCCTCTCTGGAGAATTCTCAAATGGATGAATGTAAGTACTTATGAATATTTGGCTCCCCAAATGCAGAGCTGCAAATAAAAATGCCTACAGATGCAGTAAAAATAAATAAATAAAGCCCTATACATACTAAAAACTTTGTATATTAAATACAAAGAAATATTCTTTGTTTTTCACAATAAAATATGCAATGCCAATATTGCCAGATATTGTGTGTGTGTGTGTGTGTGTGTTATTCCCCCAAATACTAAACATTGGTAATAAATTGGGGATGGGGGGAGGACCAAAGCACAGAAAACAAAACATATCTGCAAGCTCTCACTGGGCCAAGGGCCACTCATTTCTGAGCTCCGGCATTTGAAGCCTGCCCACAATGTTACAAAGCCAACTATTTAGTCTTAACTCTTTAGCCAGTCACCCTCCAATCTAACTAAACTGATCAGCTGTCTCCCAAACCCATCTTGTACACTCTTATCCCAGGACTCTTGGTTAACAAAGTTGCTCCATTTTGAAATGCCCTCCTCAACTATCCTTCCATCTAAACCCTACCCTTAATTAAGAACTAACTCCAGCCCTGGCCGGTTTGGCTCAGCGGTTAGAGCGTCCGCCTGCGGTCCAGAGAGACCCGGGTTCAGTTCCCGCTAAGGGCATGTACCTCGGTTGCAGTTTGCCCCTGGCCCTGGTTGGTCGTGCGGGTGGCAGCCACTCAATGTGTCCCTTTCACATCGATGTTTCCCTCTCTCTCTCCCTCTCTCTCCCTCCCACTCTGTCTGTACAAAAACAAACAAAAAAAAAGAACTAACTCCAATGCTTCCTCTGTGATCTTCTTAAATGATCATTTATGTTCTTCATGGCAGTGCACAGAATTTTACCTCTCTATGCTCCCCACAACATCTGTTTGGGGGCGGGAGGAGTGAATGTTTTATTGAAGTATTACATACTTCACAAAGTATAACAACATAAATACAAAGTATGCAAAAAAGTACACAAAGTATACAAAATATGTACAGATTGATAAATGTACACAGAGAGAACACCACGAGTAACCAGCACCCAGATTAGGAAGAACATTATCAGAGCCTCCAAAACCTCCTCAGCCCCCCTTCCAGTCACTATTTCCTGACAAAAAGTATATTCTACCCTAATGTCTAACACAATAGTTATGTTTTAAAAATTGATATAGCCCTGGCCAGTTTGGCTCAGCGGTTAGAGTGTCCGCCTGCGGTCCTGAGAGACCCGGGTTCAGTTCCCGCTAAGGGCATGTACCTCGGTTGCAGTTTGTCCCCGGCCCTGGTCCGTTGTGCGGGTGGCAGCCACTCGATGTGTCCCTTTCACATCGATGTTTCTCTCTCTCTCTCTGTTCCTCTCTCTCCCTCCCACTCTACCTGAACAAAAAAATGGGAAAATGTCCTCGGGTGAGGATTAAAAAATAAATAAATAAATAAATAAATAAAAATTGATATAAATGGCCCTGGCTGGTTTGGCTCAGCGGTTAGAGTGTCGATCTGTGGTCCAGAGAGACCTGGGTTCGGCTCCCGCTAAGGGCACGTACCTCGGTTGCAGTTTGTCCCCGGCCCTGGTTGGGTCTTGTGTGTGGCAACCACTCGATGTGTCCCTTTCATGTCGATGTTTCTCCCTTCCTCCCTCCCTCCCACTCTATCTGAACAAAATATCAAAAAATGTCCTCGGGTGAGGATAAAAAAAAAAATTGATATGAATGGAATGATACAGCATGCACTTTGTGTCTGGCTTCTATCGCTCAACATTATGTTTGCATGATTCATCTATATTGTGTAAATTCACCTATGTTGAAGTTCATTCATTCTCATTGCTGCTTAATATTCTACTCTATAAATATGTCATATTTATCTTTCTACTGTTGATGGGCATTTGAATGATTTCCAATTTATAGCTATTAAAATAATGCTGCCCTGGCCGGTTTGGCTCAGCGGTTAGAGCGTCGGCCTGCGGTCCTGAGAGACCCGGGTTCGGTTCCCGCTAAGGGCATGTACCTCAGTTGCAGTTTGTCCCCGGCCTTGGTCGGTTGTGCGGGTGGCAGCCACTCGATGTGTTCCTTTCACATCGATGTTTCTCTCTCTCTCTCTCTCTGTTCCTCTCTCTCCCTCCCACTCTACCTGAACAAAAAATGGAAAAATGTCCTCGGGTGAGGATAAAAAATAAATAAAAAATAAAATAATGCTGTTATGAACATTCTCATGCATGTCTTTCAGTAAACATATATACCATTTTCTTTTGAATATATAGCTAGGAGAAAAACTGCTAGGTTATCAGGAACATGTATATAGAGCTTTTGTAGATAATGCCAGTTTTCCAAAGTGGTTATCAAGTTACATTACCATCCAGAAAGGTATGAAAGTTCTAGTTGCTCCACATCCCCTAACATTTGGTATTGTCTCTCTTTTTCATTTAACATTTTAAGGTCCCTCAGTTTTTCTTATAAGCAACAGAAGAGCAGCAAAAAGAAGCAAGTTAGCAGCTATGGCCATCTCTGTCCTCGTATATCCCACTGGTTTAGTATAGACCAAGGTGGTTCTTCTAGGGTTCTCAAATTGGCCTGAGAGCAATACTTGGTCCAAAAGACTATGATGTGGCTTGGTCTATTCAGGGTCTGCATGAGGGGCTCTGTTATATTCTTAAGGGAAGGGGTTCACCTCCTGTGTACAATCCTAAGGAAGTAAAGACAAATGATTTTTAAATGGTTTCTAGAATCTAATCAAAGGTGAACATAAAAAGGCTGAATCCAAGACTCTAATGTCTTCTTATCCTCTCTGTTTTTTAAATTTAATTTTTAAAATGTGAAATACTCATTCATACAGACCAATATAAATAATTTAAAGAGTGATTGTATACCCACCACCCAATTTAGAAACTAGAACATTTCCAGTTTCTTAGAAATCTGTTTGCCTCTTCCTTATTATTCCTGTACCTGCCACAAGAGGTAATAGACTGTCTGTCGTTTTACCCCTGCATGTTTCCAGAGGGGGTAGAAAGAGAACGTTCTGTATGATTCCATTTATATGAAACTCTAAAAAAATACAAACTAATCTATAGGGACAAAAAGCAGATCAGTGATTGCCTCGGGAGGGATGGTGGCGATGAGCCAAGAGAGGGATTACGACGAGGCACAAGGAAATTGGGGGGATGATGCATATGTTTGCTATCTTTTTCCCTAGCTTTATTGTGATATGATTGACATGTTACATTGTATAAGTTTAAGGTATAAATATGATGATTTGATATACGTATATATTATAAAATAATTACTACAATAAGGTTAGTTAACACAGCCATCACCTTCACATAGTTACCTTTTTGTATATGTGTGAAAACTTAAAAGTGAGAATTTTTTTTTTTTTTAATCCTCACCCGAGGACATTTTTCCATTTTTTTGTTCAGGTAGAGTGGGAGGGAGAGAGAGGAACATCGATGTAAAAGGGACACACGGAATGGCTGCCACCCACATGACCAACCAGGGACAAATTGCAACCGAGGTACGCGCCCCCAGCGGGAACTGAACCTGGGTCTCTCTGGACCATAGGCCGACGCTCTAACCGCTGAGCCAAACCGGCCAGGGCAAAAGTGAGAAGTTTTAAGATCTATTCTCTTAGCAACTTTCAGGTATATAACATAGTATTGTTAACTATAGTCACCATCATACATCTCTTCACTATCTTAATGGTGGTGATGATTTCAGAGGTGTATACATGTCAAGACATATCCAATTACATACTTTAAATATGTGTACTTAATTGTAAATATACATCAATCAAGCTGTGATAAGTTTTTGGTGTAGGAAAAGAGCTACTTAAGAGATGTTTATGACAATATTTCTCAACTGGATTATTGAGCACATCTCTTCCAGGTATGCATATAGGAATCACCTTTAAAACTTTTCCAAACTAGCCCTGGCCGGTTTGGCTCAGCGGTTAGAGCGTCGGTCTGTGGTCCGGAGAGACCCGGGTTCGGTTCCCGCTAAGGGCACATACTTCGGTTGCAGTTTGTCCCCGGCCCTGGTTGGTCGTGTGGGTGGCAGACACTCGATGTGTTCCTTCACGTCGATGTTTCTCTCGCTCTCTCCCTTCCTCTCTCTCCCTCCCACTCTATCTGTACAAAAAAAAATGGAAAAATATCCTCGGGTGAGGATAAAAAAAAAAAAAAAAAAGAGAGGAACATTAAAACAAACAAACAAAAAAAAAACTTTTCCAAACTATATGGATCTCCTTCACTCTTTCCCCAGGGATTCTGAAACATCCCTACAGGGATGCAGTGCCACTTGAGAAAAACTGCTCTGGTAAGCTGAGGTGGATAAAAGGGTTGAGTACTGAACTTTAGATAGAGGTGGTAAGGGAGAGATAAAGAGAAGACTAGGAAGGATAGAATGGCAGGGTAACAGGGTGAGGAGGAGGGGACCAAAGGGTTAAGGAACAAGGAAGTCTCGACCACAGACAACTAGGTCTTTTGGTTTTGGATTGTGAATAGCAGTATGAGTACAGTGATGAGGACAATAAGGAAAATATGCATTTGGTACATGGGATGATGATGATGATGTAGCTGGATAACTTGTTTGGTGAAATTAATTAACTACCACAATGACAATAGAGATATTAAGTGGTAGAAGTGGGACTTGAACCCAGTCAGTCAAGGATATCTACTGACAGAGACACCTATCTTAGATACTAGGAAACTAAAATGTGTGTGTGCGTGTGCGTGTGTGGGTATGTGGGGTGGGGGGGATATGTTAGAGAACATTACAATTTTTGTTTTGTTAATCCTCACCCGAGGATATTTTTCCATTGGTGTTTGAATAGAATGGTAGGGAGGGAGGAAGATAGAAACACTGATGTGAGAGAGACACATTGATTGGTTTCCTCCCACATGTGCCCCAGCCAAGGTGGGGATCAAATATGCAACCCAGGTATGTGCCCTAGACTGGGAATCAAACCTGCAACCTTTTGGTCCGTGAGCTAATGCTCTAACCTCAGAGCAACACCAGCCAGGGCAAAAAACCACTACAATTTTGATCCAATTGTGAAAATGTAGTTATTTACCATTTATGTCTAATTATTCTGCAAAATAATGCCTGTGACTTGATAATAAGCCCAACTTCCCTGTAAGCTTTTGGTCTAGGGATGATCTTATACCAGTCTAGATATCCTAAAGGTTTGTCTTCTCACCTTGGCCCAAACCTGGACCATAAAATTTCCTGTGGACGGAAAATAGCCTTGGAAATTAGAGACAACCTATCACTTTCTTCAGCTTTGCTCCTTTTCATGATTCCATGTCACAAATTCAACTCATACCTACAAACTATTTCCAAGCTGGCTCGGAGGCACTCACCATCCAACTTTTTCAGTTTGGGCACTCTCTTGGTTGCCTCTTCAATCCAGTTTCCCTCAGCAGAATGCTTCTCTTCCAAGGGATTGCCTACGAACACCAGGTCTTCCAGGCACGGCAGTTCTGCCAGCTTCACAAATTCAGCTACAGGTATAAAAATTCCTTCTACATTAAAATGGCAGGTTTCACTATTATGATTTTGGGGGCTAAACTCCAATATCACTGTTTGTGACTATTCAGAACCATTTGTCATTTAAGATTTTGAAGGAAGGAAGGGAAGTTAGACCATATGGAGTGATTCTCTGAAAACATCACAGAGGAGAAGGGAAAAAAGACATACCTCTTCTACCTTTATGCTAGCCTAATAGGATAAGAGGAGGAAATAAGATTTACAATAAAAAAGAACAACACATCACTCACCAGTGACAGATCTTTCCTATGCTGTTCTGCATTACATAGGCTAAGCTAAACGGTTTGTCTCTACCCATTCCCTCCCACATCTTTGAATTCTTAAAGCAACCCATTGGAGCCTCTACTGCAGAATTTATCACAATTTTATAATTATTAGCTTATAAACTAACCTTCCCCACTAAGCTGTAAACTCCTTGAGGGCAGGGACAGTGTCCTATTCAACTATGTATCTCAAGAGTCTGGCATATAGTTCATGGCACAAAATAGAGCTTTGGTCAATGCTGAATGAATAATGTGCAATGCAAAAACAAAGCAATACAGAGATCAGATAAGTTTTCCACACAAGAATGATTAAATTTAAACTGATTTCTTTCAGCATCTGGACAATTAATTTTTTCATGATTAATAGGACCAGAACCTATTCAATTAAAATCATTCTAAGTTAGTATTTAGATGTAAATTTCAAGTGTTTAGTTGAAATATAGAAAGTCCTACAGCTATTTCCCTCTGTGCTTAGAAATAAATGTCCTCATTTTTCGCCTTGTTCCCTATCGGCTATTTTCAATAAGCAGGAGGAAGAGGTCAACAGAGAGCCAGCCTCAGCTTACCCCACTCTTTCACCAGGTTGTTAGACATGTAGAGAATCTTCAGTTTCTTCATCACATGGATTCCTTTCAACTTCTCAATAAAATTGTAGGAGATCCACAGTTCTTCTAATGTGTCCCCTACTGCTTCCTGAAAAAGAAAGCAATTTGATGTACATGATTATGTTTAAGTTTTGTTCCTTCCTTATAAACATCAAGACAATGGTCTTCTGAAGGAACTGAGATCCACCTGTCCCCTGGCAGGAGAGCTGATGGCTGTGTGGGAGTTTCTGTTATTAAAAAAGCCAAGCAGAACATTCTTTTCCTCTCTTCAAACCATTTAAACTAAGAATAGGTACTGAAATCACCAACAGGGGAAATAGTAGCATTATTTTTATCACTTTTATTGAATAGTATAGCCCAGCCGGTGTGGCTCAGTGGTTGAGCGTTGACCTATGCATCAAGAGGTTACCAGTTTGATTCCTGGTCAGGGCACATACCCAGGTTATGGGCCCGATCCCCACTGCGGGGCATGTAGGAGGTGGCCAATCCATGTCTCGCTCATCAATGTTTCTATCTCTCTCCCTCTCCCTTCCTCTCTCTCTAAAATCAATAAACAAACAAAAATAATAGTATAGCTTTCAAATTACTGCCTTATATATTTTATTATTTTATTCTTATAACATTTAAGATAGGTAAAGCAAGTTATTTTATTTCTATTAAAGAGAACTTAAGCCCTGGCCGGTTTGGCTCAGCGATTAGAGCGTTGGTCCGCAGACCAGAGTCCCAGGTTTGGTTCCCGCAAAGGGCACGCACCTCGGTTGCAGTTTGTCCCTGCCCCGGTTGGGGTCGTGTGGGTGGCAACCACTTGATGTGTCTCTCTCACATCGATGTTTCTCTCTCTCTCTTCCCCCCTCTCTCCCTCCCGCTCTATCTGAAGATAAACAAACAAAAAAGTCCTCAGGTGAGGATAAAAAAAAGAGAGATTTATTGTGAAAACTTTCAAACATTAAAAAAAATTGAATTTTATAGTAAATCCTCATATATCCACCACCCAGATTCTACCATTAACATTTTACTATCCTTTCCTATCAAATATCTATCTTCCATGCAGCTATCTATCCATCTTTTTTTTTTTAATCACCCGAGGACATTTTTTTCATTTTTTGTTCAGATAGAGTGGGAGGGAGGGAGAGGAAGAGAAAGAGAGAGAGAAACATCAACGTGAAAGGGACACATCGAGTGGCCACCATGCGCACGACCAACCAAGGCGGGGGACAAACTGCAACCGAGGTACGTGCCCTTAGTGGGAACCGAACCCGGGTCTCTCTGGAACGCAGGCTGACGCTCTAACTGCTGAGCCAAACCGGCCAGGGCTCCATCTTTTTTAATGTATAAAATTCAGCTGTCTATTTAGTTTAAAACCCAAAGACTTTTCATTATAGTAAAAAAAATTATACCATACTGACTCTTTTTTTAAATTCTCACCAGAGGACATTTTTGCATTTATCTTCAGATAGAGCGGGAGGGAGAGAAGGAGGAAGAGAGAGAGAGAAACATTGATGTGAGAGAGACACATCGACTGGCTGCCACCCACACAACCCCAACCGGGGCCAAACTGCAACTGAGGTACATGTCCTTAGCGGGAACCGAACCCGGGTCTCTCTGGTCCACAGGCCGACACTCTAATCACTGAGCCAAACCAGCCAGAGCTCACACTGACTCTTAAATGATAGATATAGTCAGTTGTAGCACAAACTTCCTTCTATTATAGACATAAGACAAAATGTAGTGATTCTAAAACACAAAATAAAAATAAATAGAATGGGTTGGATGTTCAATCCTCTCTTACTCAAAAGAATTTGCCTGTGACCACAAGATAATGTCTAGAACATGGAGCCCACATCTAGTCCTGGTAAGTAACTATCCCTTCAGAAACTAGACAGAGAATAAACGTACCCTGGATAAAGACTCTTAATGCATGCATTTTCCATACTGGTGGAACCAAGGGGAGAAACTGAGAATGGAGTGCCTGAGTTAGTTGTGTGTGTCATCCCGACTCCCACAATTCATCTCAGTTTCAACTTTCTGAGTAGAAGAAAAAACAGTTTCAGAGTAAAAGAAACTTTTCAATCGGTCCATCCTGGCAACTCTTTTATCAGAACTTTGTGATTTAACCAAACCCCCTCAGCTATATTCTGATATTTTCTCCACCAAAATGATCTAATTAGTGTATCACATATGTCTTTCAGAAGAAGGCAATCAGTTTTCACATAATTCAAACTTCATTGCATGCATTTTCATTGTACTGCTTCCTCATCTATCTTACGTATCCAATTTAGAAAGAGTGAGGTAGAGGAAAAAAATACTGATTAGCCTGGTGGTGTGGCTCAGAAGTTGAGCATCAACCCATGCACCAAGAGGTCATTGGTTCAGTTCCTGGTCAGGGCACATGCCCAGGTTGTGGGCTCAATCCCCAGTGGGGGGCATGCAGGAGGCAGCTAGTCATTGTTCTCTCTCATCAATTCTCTCTCATCAATTCTCTCTCTCTCTCTGCCTTCCTCTTTCTCCAAAATAAAAAATAAATAAAATAAAATAAAATAAAAAATACTGATTAGTCCAGCCGGTGTGGCTCAGTGGTTGAGCATCAACTCACGCACCAAGAGGTTGCTAGTTTGATTCCCGGGTTATTTCCCGGTCAGGGCACATGCCCAGGTTGTGGGCCAAATCCCCAGTGGGGAACATTGAGGAGCGGTCAATCGATCTCTCTCTCCCTCTCCCTTCCTCTCTAAAATCAATAAAGAAAAAATTTTTTTAAAATACGGATTAAATACTGATTAGCCCTGGCTGGTTTGCTGAGTGGTTAGAGCATCGGCCTTTGGACCCAGGGGTTGTGGATTCAATTCTCCATCAAGGGCATATACCAGGGTTGCAGGTCATGACTCCAGGGTCCTGTGGGAGGCAATGAATCAGTGTCTTTCCCTCACATGGATGTTTCTCTTTCTCTCTCTCCCCCTCCCTCCCTTCCACTCTATCTGGAAATCAATGGAAAAATATCCTCAGGTGAGGATTTAAAAAAAAAAGTACAGATCAGAAGATTTAGGCTCAGTTCTGGGTCCTGACACTTAATTAGTATTTTTTTTTTTTTTTGTATGTGCAGATGAGGGCTCTTGGTCAATTTTCATTATAGCCAATTTGATCAATTCTCCAAATAGCCAATTTGCTGAATTTACTCTTACTGGTTTACCAAAAAATGTTTAACTATTTATAAATTATAGTAATTTGTTTAGATAGGCTAGAATTATTTTAGATAGGATAACTTTGAAGATGTCTGTAATGCTTTGTTCACTCATTTGAAATGTTAATTTAATTTCAGTTTCATTTTCAGCCGTTTGGATGTAGCATCTTTGTCATAACCAAATTTTAGTGCATTTGGGGACTCTTCTTTATTTGGAAATATGACTTTGTGTAACGAAAATTTCTTAGGCATATTGACTACAAATCCTGTATAGATTTTAAATGCTCAGGGTGTAGTTCTGTCTTTCAGTACATTTTCAATCGATTCCACTGTCTTTTGTACTTCCCTAAATATAAGAATTTGCTAGCCAACTCAATTAGATTACTATTTTTATGTTTTAATAATTGGAGAAGTGATCAGTGCCTGAAATATGAAACTGACATTTTACAAACATGTACTGACAAATCCAACAATTAGATAAAACAGCTGCAGTAACATGAGCAGCACAAAATAGAACCTTAAAGAAAATTTCAAAAGGTGTTGAAACCATTCCAAGCAACACATTTTTCTATATATTTATAAGTAGATAATAAAGACAAGATTTTGGTGAAGCAATCTGCTGAATATCAACAGTGAAACCTAGCTAAGTTTGTGTGAATCAATTCATGAAATGTGTAGTTCAGTACACTGGCCCTTTGGAGAACTGGACACTGAGTGAACAGGCATTTAGCAAATCGGTTTCCTTCTGCAAGTAAACAATTTCTCCTTAGTTTCTTACTCTGTAAAACAAGGAGGCTGGAACAATGAGAGACCACCTCACATGCATCAGGATGGCTATTGTCAAACAAACAGAAAGTAAGAAATGTTGGCAAGGATATGGAGAAACTGGAACCCTTGTGCACTTGTTGGTGGGAATGTAAAATGGTGCAGGTGTTAAAAATATATGATCCAGCAATCCCACTTCTAGGCATATACCCTAAAGAATTGAAAAAAAGGGCTTCAAAGAGATTTAGATACTCATGTTCACAGTAGCATTATTTACAATAGCAAAAAGGTGGAAACAACCCAAGTGCCATCGATGGATGAATGGATAAAAAAAATAGGGTATATACACACAACAGAATATTACTAATCCTTAAAAAGGAAACAAATTCTGATACATGCTATCATGGAGCAAACTTGTATATTGACAGTAGGAAAAACTGTACAGCTATTAATAAAGAATGCATTGCCCTGACCAGTTTGGCTCAGCGGTTAGAGCATCGGCCTGCGGTCCAGAGAGACCCGGGTTCGGTTCCCGCTAAGGGCACGTACCTCGGTTGCAGTTTGTCCCCGGCTCTGGTTGGGTCGTGTGGGTGGCAACCACTCAATGTGTCCCTTTCATGTCGATGTTTCTCTCTCTCCCTCCTACTCTATCTGAAAAAAAATAGAAAAATGTCCTCGGGTGAGGATAAAAAAAAAAAGAATGCATTAAATTTGCATGTTTTGACATGGAAGATCATTACTGAAATACAGGGATTGGCAAAAGTAGGTTTACAGTTGTGAGTACATGAAAGTTTATTCTTGTATTATTTATTTATTAATTATTGTATTATTTGCTATTATTAATCTACTTTTGCTCACCCTGTATTGAGTGAAAAATCAGAAAAAATATATTAACTTTGTGCCCTGGCCAGCTTGGCCCAGCTGTTAGAGCATCGGCCCATGGACCAAAGAGTTGCAGATTCAATTCCTGGTCAAGGGCACATACCTCAGTTGCAGGTTCAATCCCCAGCTGGGGTCAGGGTTGTGCAGGAAGCAACCAATCAATGTCTCTCTCACATTGATGTTTCTCTCTCTCACTCTCCCTCCCTCCCACTGTATCTAAAAAAAAAAAAACAATCAATGGATGAGGATTTTAAAAATTATATATATCTTAACCTTTTATATCAACAGTACAAACATATACAACATACAAACACACATGAATATACATACACACAGATATCTATTTATTTGTATTGAAACAGAAAAATATATTAAACTATACAAAACAATGCTATTCCGCCCTGGCCAGTTTGGCTCAGCGGTTAGAGCATCGGCCTGCGGTCCTGAGAGACCCGGGTTCAGTTCCCACTAAGGGCACGTACCTCGGTTGCAGTTTGTCCCCAGCCCTGGTCGGTTGTGCAGGTGGCAGCCACTCGATGTGTTCCTTTCACATCGATGTTTCTCTCTCTCTCTCTGTTCCTCTCTCTCCCTCCCACTCTACCTGAACAAAAAAAAAAATGGAAAAATGTCCTCGGGTGAGGATAAAAAAACCCCAAAACAATGCTATTCCTATTACCTCATGGAATCAGGAAGGTAGATAGAGAGAAAAAAAACTTTCACAGTGAATTTCATATTTATTAATTGCTTGATTTGTTTTTTACAATTAACATATATTACTCTTAGAATTAAAAATTTAACCTAATAGCTTTTATAATGAGTAATAAAACATATTGAGTCACTCAATAGATATTTATAGAAATGCCTACTACATGTATCAAGCACTAATGTAGATGATTATGAACAAACTGACGTGCTCATTAGGATTTGTGCACATGACAGAGAGACAGAGAGGGTGAGCGAGAGGGAGACGAACAAACGAATAAAAAATTCAGATAGTAATAAGAAAGATGAAAAAAATATATATGTAAGTGCTAAGAGTTATTGCCTAGAGAGCTATATATAGGGGTTACTTTTTTTTTTAATCCTCACCAGAGGACATTTTTTTTTTTTTTCATTTATCTTCAGATAGAGTGGGAGGGAGAGGGGAGGAGGAGAGAGAGAGAAACATCGATGCGAGAGAGAAACATCAAGTGGTTGCCACCCACATAACCCCAATTGAAGTGGGGACAAACTGCAACCGAGGTATATGCCCTCAGCGGGAACCGAACCTGGGACTCTCTGGTCCGCAGGTCGATGCTCTAACTGCTGAGCCAAACCAGCCAGGGACAGGGATTACTTTTGAGAAGGTGACATCTGAGCTAAAGTACAAAGGTCAAGGAGCCAATAATATGGAAATCTAGAGTAACAGTTTTTTAGGCAGAGGAAACAGCAAGTACAACATTCAGGTGGGAATAGACTTGGCATGGCCCACGAAGAGAAAGAAAGCCAGTAGCTGGAGATTAGCAGCTAGGAAGAAGACTAATATGAAATGAGATCCGGGAGGAAGGCAGAAGCCAGATCACATATACAAATGGGCTTATAGTGTACCTTAATAGTCAATTTTCCAGTAGTTTTAAACAGACCCCTTTCATTCTATTTAACATTCCATGTTTCACAGATTAGAGTGGTCATGTGTAACTTATTATTTAAATCATACTATGAGACTGATGTGCGTAGATGAATAAATCAGTTAGTATGTGAACCTATTTGAAGCCCAGCATCTGTATCCCTATGCTAATTCATTTCTCTTTGGTCTATACATAAGTAGTAAAGCTTTAGGATTGGTAAAATGTTGTTTTTGTGTATGTATGATGTATGTATACACACAAACATATACACACACCCTGGAAAGAAAACCGACTCTTGGGTGTTATTAATAGTCTATAGAGCCCTGGCTGGTTTATCTCAGCGGTTAGAGCATTGGCCTGCGGTCCAGAGAGACCCGGGTTCGGTTCCCGCTAAGGTCATGTACCTCGGTTGCGGTTTGTCCCCGACCCGCAGGAGGCAGCCACTCGATGTGTCCCTTTCACAACGATGTTTCTCTCTCTCTCTCTTCATCTCTCTCCCTCCCACTCAATCTGAACAAAAAGTGGAAAAATGTCAAGTGAGAATAAAAAAAATAAAAATAAATAAAAATTGGGAGGGGGTGCATTTATTTGTAAATTCTTCCTTTACAGATAATTCAAAATCATATTCAGCCTGAAGTATAATAAATTCTAAATTTTTGTAGTATAATTTAAAATTTTATTTATTATGACTGTCCATATATTTCGCACTTTACCATCTAACACTCTGAGAATGTAGAGAAAGCAAAAATATCTTTAAATATACCAATCATTTAGTTTGTCCCCAGCCCTGGTTGGTCATACGGATGGCAGCCACTCAATGTGTCCCTTTCATGTCGATGTTTCTTTCTCTCTCTCTCTCTTCCTACCACTCTACCTGAACAAAAAATGGAAAAATGTCCTCGGGTGAGGATAAAAAAAAAAAAAAAAAGAATATAACCTCTAAGAATTTCCAAGCATTTTATAAATTCATTAGTAAAACTTTATGTGAGTAAGTAGACATGTAGAAATGGGAATATTATTCATATAATTCAAGATGATTCCAAAATTGCCGCTCTGAACACTAACCCTATTTAGGCAGTACAGCTGGTTCCTGTAATGGGCAATGGCCATTTTAGCCTGTCTCATCTTAGGATTGTTGGGAAGCACTGCAGTTTCAACCCCACTGGCTTTTATGAAGCACAGCTAGACTTACTGGGGGGTGGGGAAGAAAGCCAGAGTCGTTAAAAAAATTTCAGAATGTTTATGAATTCAACAATAAATACTTTTTAAAAAATTTAATGTTTTTTGGGAACAGATACAAGAAAAATAAATTAGCTTCATCTTTCCTGAAATTTCCTACTATTACAATATTGTTCTATTTAAGCTTCCTTGAAAGAAAATTCAAATGGCCAATAAATATATAAATAAAACTACATAGTCCACTTCACTCCACTGTCAAAAACTTGAAAGAGTTTTAAAGTCCAAGGTTGGTAAGGGGAAATAGGAACCCTCATTCATTACTGGTGGGAGCATAAACTGTTACAAATTTTCCGAATGGTAACTTGATGAAATCAAGTCACAAAAGCCTTAAAATAAATTCGTATCTTTTGACCCAGCAATTCCATTTCAAGGAATTTTTCCAAGGAGTTATTCATTAATGTGTGCAAAAATATAGCTAAAAGGAGATTCATAACAGCATTGATTATAACTCCAAACTGGAAATAAGTAATGAATAATAAATAACTGATTTAATAAATCAATAAAATAGAATAGCATGCTGTCATTACAAAGAGGTATGGCTGAAAATTATTTTAAAAACTTAAGTCACACCCTCTGATTAGAAACCTCCAATGGCTGCCCTGGCCAGTTTGGCTCAACCATTAGAGCATCAGCCTGCGGACTGAAAGGTGTCGGGTTTGATCCCCAGCCCGGGTCAGGATCACGCAGGAGGTAACCAATTGATGTGTCTCTCTCACATCGATGTTTCTCTCTCTCTGCCTCCCTTCCACTTTCTCCAAAAAAATCAATGGAAAAACATCCTTGAGTGAGGATTAATTAAAAAAAAAAATTAAAAAATAAAAACCTCCAATGGCTTTGCAAGCCAATTGGGAAAAAATCTAAAATCTTATGACCTATAAGGCCCAGTGTGGCCTCCTGGTCCCAGGCTCACTCACCAACTTCATTGAGGACAATTCTCCCTTCCTCATTCAACTTACTCAGGCATACCAAGCAGCTTCAATTTCAGAACACTTGCACTTGCTGTCCTCAGCATGGAATGCTTATCCCTTGGTCAGCTCTATAGCCTACATCCTCTCTTCCAGAGAGGACTTCCCATCAATTTATGTTCTCTTATATGCCTCATTTTTCTTCACTCCATTCATCACCACCTTATGTATTATAAAATTATTTTCTAGTGTGTCTTCCCCCACTGTAATGTAAGTTCTATGAGAGCAAGAACTTTGTTTTATACTCATTCTGTTGTATTTCTAGTGCCTAGAACAGCACCTGGCTTAAAGCAGACATTCAGGAAATATTACTGAACGAATTTGTTGAATGAATGAGTGACACAGGAAACGATCTTTACATATTAGGCATAAAAAGAGATGCAAAACAATACATAGAGTGTGATTTAATTCTCTACATACCCATTGAACAAGAGGAAAAAAGGCAAGGAAGATGTCAATACAATGTTAGTATTTAAATTGTGAATGGTTTATAGGTACTTTTTATAGTTGCTTTCCTACTTTGTAGTTTCTGCAATGGACAAGTATAATTTTTATACTAAGAAAAAAGTGGGTTTTTTTTAAAGTAATAAATAGCAACCTACCAGTCCATTTAAGTTCTTTATGTTGTTTCTTCCTAAAGACAATATCCTCAAGTTTTCTGTATTGGAAAAAAAGCAATTTTTGGTTTATGAGAATCATATTACACAACTGTAAATCTAGTATAATAAAGCTTTAATAAATGTTATATAATAAATATCCTTGTACAAAAGTAAGTAAGGCTGTATTAAAAAAAAGTGATAATCAAGTGGAAATAACATTGACCTATCATGTAAGGTAAACACTACAATAATAATTTCACATCATGCCAATATTAAATTAAAAATTGTTAGCTACTTAAAATGCATGGTCTTAAACTGCTGGCTAGTAAAAATACTAGATAAAATAAGAGTAAAGAGGATTTGAACTTTAGATTTGACAGCATATAGTATTTCAGATCTCTTATTGTATAAGGACTCACACTAAAAAAAAAAAATTTATGTATAATACACCCACTCCACAAAGGATTAGAAGTGAAATAAAATGAATTAGTATTTTAAATATCTTTTGCTTTCAATTTTAAATAATTAGATTGTGATTTGGTTTAAAAGATAACTATTTGTATTTTTATGAGGCTGTATCTATTTGTATATCTATAGGCTATTTCTGGAAGAGAAAAAAGAAAGAAGAAGCAATGGTTGCTTTGGGGGAGGAACTGAGAGTATATGGTCAGAGCAATACTTAATTTTCATTGTAACCTCTTTTGAACTATTTGCATAAAACTATGTGTATGTATTATTTTTAAAAATTAAAAAAATGATTTCTAGCCCAGCTGGTGTGGCTCAGTGGATTGAGCATCGTCCAATGGACTGAGAGGTCCTAGTCTGATTCCTGGTCAGGGGTCAGGGCACATGCCCAGGGTTGTGGGCTCGATCCCCAATGGGGGGCGTGCAGGAGGCAGCCAATCGATGTTTCTGTCTCACGTAGATGTTTCTCTCTCTCGCTAAAAAATCAATAAAAGAAATTTTTTTAAAAAAGATTTCTGGTAAAATACAGGAGATTTCATTTCTATTCTAAAAAACTACTGTGATTACTTGTGCATGTTATACATTTAGTTTTCACAACTTAAACTTCTATAACTATACTGTCCAATATGCTAGTTATTAGTCACATGGCTATTTAATGTAATTAAAATTAAATACAATTAAAATTCAGTTTTTCAGTCACACTAGCCTCATATCAAGAATTTAATAGCTGTGTAAAGGTAGTAGCTACTGTTTTGGGACTGTGCAAACACTTCTATTGGATAGTACTGTTCTATAAAATCCATAAATTAATGGTTAAGAATACAAATCTGCCTGGGACCAGTTTGGCTCAGCAGTTAGAGCGTCAGCCCGTGGACCAAGAAGTCCCGGGTTTGATTCCAGCCAAGGGCACGTACCTCAGTTGCGGTTCATCCGTCCCCGGCCCCATCGAGGTCATGTGGGAGGCAGCCAATCAATGTGTCTCTCTCACATTGATGTTTCTCTCTCTCTTTGTATTTCTCTCTCTCCCTCCAACTCTATCTCAAGATATTTGAAAAAAATATCCTCGGGTGAGGATTTAAAAAGATAAATAAATAAAAAGAATACAAATCTGCCCAGCCGGTGCGGCTCAGTTAACTGAGCATCGTCCCATGGATTGAGAGGTTCTGGTTCGGTTCCCAGTCAGGGTTTAGGCCAGGTTTCGGGCTGGATCCCCGGTTGGGGACATGCAGGAGGCAGCCAATTGATGCATCTCTTGCATCAATGTTTCTGTCTCTCCCTTCCTCTCTAAAATATCAATAAAAACATTAAAAAAAAATTTTAAGAATACAAATCCAATTAATTGAGTTACAATCCCAACTGTCTAGGGAAGCAACCAAAGCTCTTTGAATCTCAGTTTCCTCATATGTAAAATAAGGAAATAGAGTATCTATTTTATAAGCACATAAGGACTGAGATAATTGTCTAAAAAATTTAGACTAATGCCTAATCCATGGTAAATATACAATGAATGGGGGGGAGGTGTTTGTCTCAGGCATATATAGTTATATAAACTTAGGTTTCTCTTATGAGAAACATTTAACTTTCAGAACAAGGAATTTTAAAGAGTGATCTAATTCATGCAAAATGGTTTAACTACTGAAACAGAACCCCACGTTATGGGCTGAAATGAATCCCACCAAAATTTATATGTTGAAGTTCTACCCCCCAGCACCTCAGAATGTACCTCTATTTGGAGATAGGGCCTTTAAAGAGGTAATTAAGCCCCGGCCGGTTTGGCTCAGCAGTTAGAGCATTGGCCCACGGACCAGAGAGGCCCAGGTTCGGTTCCCGCTAAGGGCACGTACCTTGGTTGCAGTTTTTCCCCGGCCCTAGTTGGGGTTGTGTGGGTGGCAACTGGTCAATGTTTGTCTCTCTCTCTTCCTCCCTCTTTCCCTCCAGCTCTGTCTGGAGATAAACGCAAAAATGTCCTCGGGTGAGAACAAAGGAAAAAAAAAATTTTTTTTAAAAAGAGGTAATTAAGGTAAAATGAGATCATTTTAGGTAAAATTCAATATGACTGGTGCCCTTATAAGAGGAGATAGGACACAGACAGAAACAAAGGAAAGACCATGTGAAGACAAAGGGAAAGATGGTCATCTACAAGCCAAGAAGAGAAGCCTCAGACGAAATCAGTCCTGCTGACACTTGGATCTCAGACTTCTAGCCTCCACAGCTGTGAGAAAATAAATTCGTCATTTAAGCCACCCAATTTGTGGGATTTATTTTTTTGTTGTTGTTCAGATAGAGCAGGAGGGAGAGAGAGAAAGAGAGAGAGAGAGAGAGAGAAACATCGATGTGAAGGGACACATCGAGTGGCTGCCACCCGCACGACCAACCAGGGCCGGGGACAAACTGCAACCTAGGTACATGCCCTTAGCGGGAACCGAACCCGGGTCTCTCTGTACCGCAGGCCGACGCTCCAACCGCTGAGCCAAACCGGCCAGGGCAATTTGTGGGATTTATTATGGCAGCCTTAGCAAACCAATAAATCCACATAACTATAAATGTGTGAAAACTAAATATTTAAGAAAATCACAATTATTCTTTAAAGTTTCTTTATATGGAAAAATTACCACTTTTTTCCCTATTTTGAGCAGGATAAAACGCTTATTCAAAAAGTTATTCAGCCCTGGCCAGTAGCTCAGTGGTTAGAGCATTGGCCCATGCACTGAAGGGTCATGGGTTTGATTCCCAGTCAAGGACACCTACCTGGGTTACAGGTTTGAAACCCGGCCCCAGTCAGGGCATGTGAAAGAGGCAACCAATCAATGTGTCTCTCTCACATTCATGTTTCTCTCTCCCTTCCCCGGCCCAACTCTCTAAAAATCAATGGAAAAAATATCTTCAGGTGAGGATTAACTAAGAAAAAAAAAAAAAGTTACTCATTCAATACATAATTATTGAGCATCTACTATATGTCAGGAACAGCACTAAGCACTTGTAACATAACAGTAAATAATACAGATAACAATCTGTCACAGAGCTAACATTCAACAGATAGTAAATATATTCGACAATGACAAGTATAAAAGAAAAAAGAAAGCAGATCAAAGAAATGAAAACAGTCCCGTCTGGTGTGGCTCAGTGGTTGAGTGTGGACCCATGCACCAAGAGGTTGCAGGTTCGATTCCCAGCCAGGACACCCATGCCCAGGTTGTGGGCCAAATCCCCAGTGGGGGGCATGCAGAAGGCAGAAAATCGATGTTCTCTCTCATTGATGTTTCTATCTCTCTCTCCTTCTAATTTCTTCTCTCTCTAAAATCAATAAAGAAAAAAAATTTCAAAAAATTGAAAACAGAGTTGGGAGCAATCCACATTTTAGTTAGATGGTGGCTTCTAAGTAAGGACTCAAGGAAGTGAGGCAGCTAGCCATGAGGATATCTGGAGGAAGAACATTTACAGGCAAAGAGAACTTCAAGTGTAAAGGTTTTCAGACAGGACCACATTATAAGTGTTCACAAAACACAAGAAGCTAGCTGAGAGAATGAGAGCAAAGTGATAGGAGATTAAATTAGAAATAGGTCTTTTATTGAGGATGTATGAGGAGGAGTCAAGAAATTACTAAGGAGTTTGGCCTGAGCAATTGGAAGAACGGAGTTTTCACAGAGGAAGGATATTAAGACTTACTTTTGAACATATGAAATATGAGATGTCTACTAGACATCTAAAGGAAATATCAGGCAACATTGTGTGAATCTGGAGGTCAGAGGAGACACCTGGGCTAGAGATATAAATTGGGGGGCCATCAGCATATAGATGATAAAGCCATGATATGGAAGAGATAACCAATCTAGAGAGTAGGTGAAGATAGAAAAGAGAAGAGATCTAAAAACTGAGTCCTGGGGTACTCCAACATTTTAAAGTTGGGGACATGAGACTGGGAAGAAGTAGCCAGAAAGTTAGGAGGAAATCAGGAGGGTATAGTGTCCAAGAAGCCAAATACTGAAATTTCTTCAAAGAGGAAAGAAATTGTCCATGTCAAAATACGCTAATAGGTCAAACTAAGATAAGGACTGATAAACGACCTCAGAAATTGGAGATAACAAATATATGCAACTTTTCAATGATAATATCCAACCTAACATATAAAAACTCCTTTTTAAAAAGTACACATGAAAGCGGTACCAAAAGGCTAAAAAGACCTTATTTATTGCTGTATAGGGAAATAAATTATAATATCAAAGTTAATAGATTAGGTGTTCTAGCCCTGGCCGGTTTGGCTCAGCGGTTAGAGCGTTGGCCCACAGACCAGAAAGTCCCGGGTTCAATTCCCACTAAGGGTATGTACCTTGGTTGCAGTTTCTCCCCGGCCCCGGTTGGGGTTGTGTGGGTGAGAGCCAGTCGATGTGTCTCTCTCACATCAATGTTTCTCTCTCTCTCGTCCTCCCTCCCTCTCTCCCTCCTGCTCTATCTGAAGATAAATGCAAAAAAAAAAAAAAAAGATTAAGTGTTCTAACATAACACAATTATATATTTTCCATAGTTTATATGCTGCAAAAGTAGAACACCCTTAGAAGGAAAACACTTTTTCTTTATACAAGGTCCTGAAATTTTT